GTCCTGCGCGAGCTGGAGGGGAAAGGCCAGCCTGGTGTTTACGCTGCTCAAAGGCGAGTGTGTACAGCATCGTGCTGCAGCAGGAGATTGATTGGGGTGGTGGCGGTGGTGGGAGAGGGGGGGCAGGGGGATGGGAATGGAGGTGGAGGAAGGGGAGAGGGGGATGGGGATTATCAGGAGGGGAGTATACGGAAGGGTGAGCTGGGGGTTGAGATGGGTTATGAATGAATGGATATTTATGGTTATACCCCGGTTACGATTATGGATGAGTGGGTTATGATAGCTAGGGTGTGTGTGGTGCCTCGGTGGGAACAGACAGGCGCCGGAGGGACATTATTTCGCGGTGAGGATGGAGGTTTTGGCGAGCCTGTGAGAAAGCGATGGAAACCAACGATGCAAACATCGGTTGACGACCGAGTCGGCGAGAGGGAATTCGCCGCCGGAGGACACCAGCCCATCCCACACGCACACCCACCACACCACACCACACCACACCCAGGCAGGCCGCAAGCAGGGCCGGGATAGACATGTACACACCCCACACCGCGCTGTTTATACAAGATTCTACAGTGGAGTCTACGGCACCATCCCAGCCCGCTGATTAACCAGCCCGCCAGACGGACAAACAAACCAATAATACATGGATTGTGTTACAACGTGGCCCCGCCGTAGTACACCTTTCGCACGTCCACCATCTTCTTACCGCGGCCGATAGCCATCCTTTCCGGGTCGGGCTGGTTGCAGAGCGCCCAGTAGGCCGCCTTGACCGTGTTCATGGGGTTGCGCGAGCGCGGGATGTTGGCCGCGAGGTCCTGGATCCCGGCCGCGCGGCACATCTCGAAAATGCGGTGCGACACCCGGAGGCCGAATCCTACACAGCAATCGTCAGCATTGGTCGGTGTGGTAGTTCGTGACAAATACTGGGACACAAAAGAGACATACCTGGCGGGCGGGCGTTCATCTTGACGACGGTGCCCGACACCTTGGCCGTGACCGACCCGTAGATGGTCCGGTCCTCGTATCGCCGGATCGGCCGCATGTTGCGGATGGCCAGCAGGCGCGCCTTGAGCCCCGCAATACTCGGCTCGGTCGACTTGGCCTCGCCGATGCCGAGCCAGCCGTTGCCGTTGCCGACCACATACATGATGGATGCCTTCTGCACCTTGCCCAAACGCGTCTGGTTGGCCACGCGGCGCTGGACGAGCTGCTTGGAGTGGAGGTTGAGGATATCCTTGACCCTCAAACCCGTGCGCCGCTTGAGGTCCTGGTAGATACCGATGTCGTCCAGGCCGTGATCTTCCGGGTCGATGGCGTTCTTGTACATGCCCGCCACCCCGGGCACCTTGCTCGGCAGCGCGAGCGCGAGCGATGAGTTGGTCGTCCGGTTTTGTCCGTCATGCCCGACCGCTCCAGGATGTACTGCAGGATATCGGCGTCGGTCGGCCCGGACGTGTCTTCGGGGTTCGCTGCCTGCTTGCTCATCTCGCCCTCGAGGTAACTTTGGAAGGCCTTGTGCGCCGCCTCACGCACCTCGCCCGGCCACTGCCCCTCGGGCTTTTTTTTGAACTCGTCCGACACAAAATCCGCCGGCGTCTTAAGCTTTCCTGTCACGTCGCCCTCCTGGAACTTGTCGGCCCACTCGACCAGGTCCGCGGTAAACTCGTCCATGTTCATGAAGCGCGCCAGCGGGTCGGGCGCCTCCTGGTTCTTGGCCCGCTTGTCGATGATGGGCTGTGTCTCGGCGAAGTCGTCGATGTAGGGCATCGTGTAGGGGTCAACGCGGAGGCGGCCCTGCACAGTCAGGTCGCGCGGGTCTATGGCGGCCTCACCGGCCTCGAGGGCGGCGATCTGGGCGGGCGAGTATTTTGTCCGCAGGTGGTCGATCTCCTCTTGCGTGTACTTGGGGAACTGCTCCTTGGTGAACTGGTCGATCTGCTTCTCGTCCATCAGGCCCATATCGGCGGCGCGAACGTTGGCGAACCGCGGTTTCCGCCTTGCCGACAGCTGAGGTGAGCTGTGGAACTGGTGGGCGAACCCGAGCTGGTGGCATGTTGTCGTCGCCGGAGCAGCAGCGCATGAAGCGGCGCCCGACCCCGCGGCCAGGCGTCCGGAGAGGAGCCTCCTGGCGGCTGGACGCGCTACGCTCATCTCTCTCGGGACCAATTGACTCGGCCACACCCCGGTTACTGGTGGTTGGTGTTCGACAGGTTCCGGCGGTCACGTCTTGCACTTCTAACGGCGGGCACTTGAGGACTCGAGAGTGGGTTTCGATATGTTCAGATGGCCACCAATTTTTTTGGGCCCGAGCTTTCTGGTGCCAGTAGCCAGTGGGCCAGTGTAAATGCAGGTAATTTATGCCTAACTTTCGAGGCACCAACAGCCTTGCTTGGTGATGGGTTACGCTAGCTGCTCCACTTTTTGGGTTCTTTCTTTGAACCCTGCTGTCCATCACTTATCATCATGCAGAGAGCGAATAAAACGAAGGAAGACACTTTTGCCATTCTCCCCTCTCCGTGGATATTGGTCCTCGGGCTCGACGCGACGACGGCCTTTGGCGACGCGTTTGAGCCATCAACTCTCTTCGGACGAGGTTGAATCCCCAGCCAATCATTCCCAGCTTACCTAACCGACTCGTTCGACTTCTGGCGCAGGCCTGAAACTCATTCGAGGGTCAGGCCCCTTTCTTGGCCGTTTCTTGCCGCCGGTCAAGACCAATACGACCCCAGATCCCACCCGCATCCCAAGATCGCCCAGGCACTGGAAGACAGGGGGCTTGCACCTGGGGCTCAATTCGGCTTCATTGTGACGTCTCCAGTTTCATCCGGCCACGCCAAGCGGCCGCCTTTCCTCCCATTTCTTCTCTCTCTTTCCTGTTTTCCCAGTTCGGCTCTCTTTTGGTTCTTCGCCGGGACAAAGCTTTTAATAATATCCTTCCCTTCGTCCAAAATCACTTGCCACGGCGCAGGCGACCGCCCAAGTTGATCATCCGCTGGCGGCTACTCCATCTGCTGAATTATCGCAACGTACCTCGTCGGTCGCCACACACCAGCCTCCCACATAACCGAACAACCAACGACACGATGGGGCAATTTGACTGGTTTGGGAGCATCGGCGCAACACCGGAGGCCGTCGCTGTGCTCAACGACCAGCCCATCCTCTTCACCATCCTCCTCGTCGCCCTCATCGCCATCATCCTGCAGTGTGTGCTGATCTGGTACATCCACTTTGCCACATTAAAGCCCGAACAAAAGAAGAAGAAGGAAAAGAAGAAGCCGGCTCCAAAAAAGTGAGGGTTGCCCTCAAAGTCGGAAACAGCCAGAAAATAGTCTGGCATACTTTCTCAAACGGAGTGCTCCAAGGACAACACCAATTTGAGGCTAAGGGGCCGGTTTCCCGAGAGGACGAGATGCTGGGGCAACATAAGAAGGAATCCGAATTCCCCATCAAAGACTTTTTAAACCTCGAACTTTGGCGCGGGTATGCAGGCAGCCCAGCTTCCGAACACCACACCTGTGACGGGTTGGGAGGCTGTCGAAGGAATCCGCTGAAGGGGTCTTTTCAACTGAGGTTATCGACGATGGTCCCCTGTATTTTCTGGTCGGCTTGGGGCTTGGTCGAGGTCAATCCCGAGCCCAATATCCGAGCGGTGCATCTTCAGAGTACGGTGGTAGAAATGGTTGGTTTGCGGCATCGTCCGGGTGGATATGAACCCCGAAATCAGGGAGCCCGTCCTCATGGGGCATAATATATGCTTGGTTTGCACCTTGGCCCCAGTATCCTTTCCATTCTTCATCTTGCTGCTGGCCGTAGCCGTCAGAGTCGACGAGTTGCGGAACTGGTGGCCAGTCGATCTGATCATCCTCCGAATTTTCTCTCTCGATCGGGTAAACATTTCCTTGTCCGTCGGTGTAAAAGTAATCACCCTCGGAACTGTGCGTCCAATCATCTGGTGGTGAAACTCCCTCCGCAGGTATGTAGGACTCGTCCGCCTGCAAAACAGCGTCTATCCCGAGATGGGCTGCTTCAGGAAAGAATCCGGGGAAAGCAACGTACGGGTCGCAGTCTGGTTCTAGACTGTAACCTTCCATGGCGGCGAAAGTTCCACTGCCATCTTCATCGACGTAGGTCGTGGGGATTTCCAACTCTGGCCTTACGTATTCGAGTTGCCGCCGCACCTTCTTTGCTCTGTTTTCATCCCCTTGTTTGGCTGTGAAGGGTCGTTTAATCGGTTCTGGTTGGATCCGGGTTTGGCACAATAACCATAAGCGTTTCTCTATCTCGTCCGTAACCTCGTTTACCGAGTCAGCCAACATCTGGCCGTCGTTCCCTATTGTTGTCTGGCGAGTCAAATTGTCGACTTTATCCCGGAGACTTGCGGACCGGGCGTTCTTTAGACGGGCAATTCCAGCAGCAATGGACGGGATGACTTGTGCGTGGACAGACATGGTCTTTAGCGAGCGTCAGTGGTAATCATCGCTTTACCCGCTGGGTCTGGAGCCTCACCTGAAGATATTGAAGGTCCCAAACAGCTGGGGCAATCTCGGTCAAGGAGGGTGACGCCAGATTCTTGATGGTTCTCATCCCCGGACACGTCCCTCTGACACCGATCAGTTTCCGAAACGCAAAATCCAAGAGGCAGGCCATGTCTGTGATAGCCTCGGCAACTAGTGACTCAATGTCTTGTTGGTAATCTAGAAGCGGTGGTTCCAGCGACGATGCTAGACCCATGTTTCCGACCTCTTCTTCGGCCGCCACTGCTGCTTTTATCCTCCGCCGAGGGTCACTTCGGGGGGCGTAGGTGTGTTTCTGAGGTGCTGGTTCCGTATGTTGAGCATAGTTTAGGGATTCGGCTATTTGTAGGCTTGGGAGGTCGGTTTTGCTCTTGTTCCCCTTCTTTAATGACTTGAAGCTATAGTTGACTTCGCATTTCAAAGCCTGGAACTGAGCGGACGGAATGTTCGGAGGCGCTGTCATCTCGGATGACAGGTCGGGATGACGGAGGAAGTATGAAGCGTGGGCATGGCCCTGATTTGGCCGAGCATGGGAGACATGGTTTTCCCGAAGTTCAAGTCCTGTATGTTTCCAAACCTGGGACGTTAGGACAGAAAGCGCAACCAGTAACCCTCTTACGTACCGAACACTCGGGAGCAAAGTTGGCAATGGCAGTCATGATGCTTGGGTCGAGGCTTTTGGTGTCGGGTATCTCGTTGTTTATCAAAGTCAAAACCTCGATTCGGCAGGAGCCAGCCTTGGAGATCCAGATGTCTCCCGCCGAAGTAGCTTGGCATAGATCTTTCGCGGAAGCAGAGTCCGTCCACGAAGCGGGAAGAGCCACCGTGCATGAACTTGAAAGCGTAAGAGACAGGTTCGGCATCCTACCGGCAACCTTGATCTTCCCAAGGCCGACAGAGACAGCCAGCATTGCAACTCCAACTCAAGGCAAGTTGGAGGCTGACATTTGATGACGGTCAACGAAGGCCGCATGGCCAAAAGCTTGGGTGCGGATGGATGGTAGCATCAACGGCGTGAACATGAACTTGTCACTGGCTGTGCAAGTCCGAAATGACCTCCTACAATGTGCGGAAAATGTCACTCAGGTAGCACCTTCCACGTCCGGTCTACTGGCCTACTAGTGGGATTTCAGTTCGAACCAAAGGACAGCCAAATGTGAGGAAGGAGCCATCCACATTGTGAGTCGATCACCATCCATGCAGCTCGCAAACTTGAACTCCCATGACACCAACACCGTACTCCAACCGTGGGGATTTTCAACAAGCGCTCTCCGGCGTCTTCCACGATGAGCCATCATCATCGTGCCCACAACCCGCTTTCCACGTTAATCATGACATGAACAGCCACCAACAGATCGACCATCTCTGTTTCCCGTACCAATGGCATCAAAGAGCTATCTCACGGATAGGTTGCAGTCCACGGCCTCGATTCTTCCTAATCCTGAGCCCAATCACTCCCAATCCCACCCACCCCCCTCACAAAAAGCCTCACCTCCCGCCTCCACGGCAAACAAACAGCGCTCCCGACGCAGGGCAGCCCGCACACACATGGTCTCTGACTCACATACGACGGAGGAGCCAACAGAACAAGGTTTCCGGGCACAAGACCCATCTCAAGCCACATTTCACATGTCGACATGCGGTCACACGACAGCGAGCCCCTTCGGTCAAGTAAACAAACCCCACGTAGCCCGGGGGGTCTAGGCCGCTTGACCGAACAGGAAGGGGTGTGGTTGGGCATCCAAAGTGGCAAGAGGACAACACCATCAATTTCCCAATTCGTCTACCGAAGCGTCTTTTTTTTTTCTCTCTCCCTCCGTCTCGTCCGTCGAAGCTTGTCCCCGTCTTTTTGCCGCCACCACCGCCGCCGCCGCCGCTTGCCATGTGGGAAAAGATGCACAAGATCGCTGCCATCGACTTGTCTGTCTCACCCAGCCCACCCTCCATCCTGCCATCTCTCCCACGCCAGATGAGAATCCATGCATGTCAACACACGACGTATATACATGCATAGACAATCTACTACACCCACACCCACACCCACTCCAACACCACACCACCACCATCACCACCAACCATCCGCACCTCCCCCTCAAATCCAATCCCGTCCCACCTACCTAGATACTACGAAGCAGAGCGTTTCCGAAAGTCGATACAGATATCGCCGATCAGGTCCGGCCCGACAGCGGCAACCAGCTCAGCGATGCGCGACTTGAGGGAGCCGAACTGGCTGACGTGCTCCGTGTCCCAGATGACGAGGTGCGACGCGACGATGAAGGTGTCGGAGAAGTCGGAGCGCAGCACCAGGCCGTCCATGTCGACCTCCTCCATCTCGGCGAGCGTCGGGATCCCCGGCATGTTGCTGGCGAGGAGGAAGCCGTCTTCTTCTTCTTCTGCTTCTGCTTCCGCTTCTTCTGTTGCTGCCTGTTCTGCGGAGGAGGGGGAGGGGGAGGCTTCGTCAGCTTTTTGGGAGCCTTCGGTTGCGTTATGGTTTCCTGTGGCTACTGTATCTACTGCCTTGTCGATTCCGTTGGCGCCATTGACGCCGTGCTCCTTGGTATCAGCATGACCAACTGCCTGCTCCGTTCTCGAGAAACAGACATAATGCTCCTTGTCAAACTTGTCGAGGGCTTCCTTATCCAGGAGATACCATTGGAGATCTTCCGGGTCAAGGACATACTGCGGCTTGTACTCGATCTTGTACCTCATCTTGGCACAGTTGTGCACATAGTACCCCGGATACCACCAGCGATATCCCGCCTCCCGGGCCAGGGCAATCTCGCGCAGGGCGCCCAGCTTGCCGGGGTTCAGCCAGTGGATCGACTCGTGGTAGAGGAAGTAGACGGCGCTAACACAATCGGGCAGGAGGTCCAGGACGCCCACGGCGACCAGTTTCCCGTCGATACGGTAGCACTGGTGGAAGGACCCTAGCTTGCGTTCCTTGCCGTCCGGGCCGACCATGGACCCCCGGCTCAGTGGGGAGTTGCACAGGAAGCGCTTGAAGCCATGGCGCGAGACCTTGTCCTGGGGCTCGCGGTGGACGATGCGCTGGTAGTTCTCGAAGATTTCGTATTTCTCTTCGGTGAACGTATCCGGCTCTAGCGTGACGGTAAACGCATGGTCCGGCGACGGCGGGGACTTGAGGACCTCGGCCTCGGGTTCATGGATCCTCTCGACCAGGTCGAAGACGTTATGGCGTCTTCTTACCTCGGCACGGGATCGTGGATGCAGACGGGCCGCCTCCCTGGCGTACGTATCACCGATTATGTGGCGGTTGAAACGATTGACGGCCTGGCGCTGATCCTTGGTGGGCTTGAATTGGGTTGAGTCCAGCCGGAGAGTGTAGTGTGGACAGCACGAGTGCTTCTGCATTCGGTCGGTACAAGAGAGTGCCAGAGCGCCTCCAACATCGGTCGACCAGCTTCTGGTAGAAGGTTGGCGTCAGGGATGTTGCTATAGAATAGTAAGAATAACCTATGGACTGCAGTGTTAGACGTGACCCTGGTCATGGACGCGGGCTGTGGCAGGAGGTTGGTTTGTGAGAGAGCCACTCGTCCGAGGTGTGGTCGAGGAGTGGGGGGCAGATGGAAAAGGGGGTGCTCGGGTGAGTGAGGGAGCTGGGTGAGACATGTATGGGGGTGGACACTTTATCCCGGAGAATTTACAATGGTGCATGGGGGGTAAAAGCAGGTAGGTATGTTGCTCTCAAAAGGGGAACATTCACGTTTTGTGGACTGACCACTGCTAGTCCGGCGGCAATATCCGCACTCGGATGAATTGCTATAACCTATTGTTTTCGGAGTTACGGTTAGTAACAGGCGTAGCAGAAATTTTGACGGCGAACGACAAAAGTTGTAACGGGATGGTCTGCTATGTCTGGGTTCGAGCGTCGCGAAAGAGGGTCACCGTCCCGCTGGGGACACAACACACGTGATGAAACGGAAATGGAAGGAGGCCACATTTTTACCAAAACCTGATCTCCCCTTGTTGAACATGGGGGAGTGGTCGGGGAAATGTTGTGGCGGCGGCTGAAACTCTGACAGATGGAAAAGGAGACAGCGCTGGCTGAGCGTGGGATACACTGGAATTACTGTCACTTGAGCTGGATGCTGGCCCGTCACCCGTCAACACAGAACGGGGTTTGACATAACTCAGATCGGACTCGGGGGCAGAATGCGGGAGGAGATCGCGTGGCCGCCGGGGCAGACTGGCCAACGACAGCGCCCCATTGACGCACATGGCCCGAATGGTTGGGTGAGATGGCTTGGAAGGTCGGGACTCACCGATTGGAAAAAGGAACGAGTACCGCGCTGCAACCTCGCCAGGGGTCTGCATGTTTGTGCCTGCCGTTTCCATCCTGCACAGTGGCTTGTGGAACCAAGCGGGTAGGGCCAGCCCGAGCTTCTCCGGAGCCGGGCGAAATCTAGCGGGGCAGTCGGGCGAGGCGGCGGACGGGCGGGGCTACAGCCGCGGCGCCGGGGGTAGTCAAGCGGCTCGAGCTTGAAATATGTCTAGACCCGGGGTAGAGGTGGAAGATGCAGCTGCTGGTCTTCAGGGGTTGGATGGCCGGCCCGGGGAGGGGGGAAGGGGGGAGCGGGTGCCGGCCTCGATGAGGCTGCAGAAATGAGGTAGGTGGTGCCGCGTGGCGTGTATCTCGGGGTCTATGGTTGCCGTCCTGGAGGCTCCTCCGAGAATCGAGGAAGCCAGGCGATTGTGGCGAAGCGGTGAAACCTAGCGAAGTGAAGGCCTGGAAAGCACCTGGGCTGGCAGTCGGTGCCGAGCTGTTGTGTCGAGATCACCCGACCCAGACAACGAAAGTGTTTGTCCAATGCCCCGCGCGTGAGCTCCAAGTCAGCGTGGGGGAACGAGGCACAGGGAAGTTAGGAGGGATGCAGCATGACGGTGATTTCGAAGACAGCGTCAGCCATCGGGGGGGACTGGTGACGAGGACGGGCTGTGTGGGAACGCAACAGGCAACCGAAATACTTTCGGGCATGGACGGTTGGTGAAATCGAAAGGTAGATGAACAGCTCAGAGACTGACCCCCACTGTCCATACCGCATCGCCTTCGGAGGCGAGCGGGAGTCACTGCCCCGCATTCTTTGCAGCGCCTGTGCTGTGACTGGGGCATGACCCGGACCGTGACAAAACAATCCAGCGAATGGGGCCCACGGAGTATCAACCAACAGGGAAAAATAAACTGGTTTTGTGGGGGGAAATGTGCCTTGAGTCGAGCTAGTTCCATTTTTGATAATTTGGAGACTTTTGAAGCCTATGAAAGGTTCAAGTTTGACGGTTGGATGTCGTCAGCTGGTTCTCTTGACCTGCGAGCATGTGTCAGGATAGTGCGGGGCTCAGCAACTCGCCTGGCAGATAGGCGTCTGGAAGGTGCTAGCGAGAACGGCCTGGAAAGAACCAAAAAAGCCCAGCTGAAAGAAAAAAAATACCCGACATGCCATGGCCGACCGTTACCCGTTTCAGGTTTGAGTTTCCGCCGTCTGAGGTTCGGGAGGTTTCGGAAGCGATCCGGGGAATCTCCTGTGTACGCAGCACTTAACGTAAGTTTCAATAGGTGGTAAGCCTGTAAAGCAGACCTACCTACCTACCTGGAGCATTGAGGTGGGCTGAGAGTCCTGGCCGGACCGCCCCCCGTTCGAAGAACCCTTCACGGCGCCGCTGTTGACGTTCGTGCATTTTAACCCAAGACTTCTGGCACGGTCTCATCCCACGCAAACATGCAAGGTAACCTCCCGTACCTGCACCGCAGAATAGAAACTGCACTTTGTTGATGAACGGCCAATTGGCCATCCCGAACCTCTTTCCCAACCCGCTTTCTCTTTGTCTTCGACCCCAACAACGGTCATGGCGACTGCCAATCCGGGACACCTCACATCGCCTGGACCCAGCGTCGGTAGCGGAACACGGAACCCCCGACAGGCCACCCCTGTCCCGGTCACCGATCTGAGGGTACGTACCCCACGCATCACCCATGCGGCTGCTCCACCGAGCGTTTTCACTCTCTCCTGCCGTTCGGGATTGGTAAAATTTTTAGAGCTCTCTTGTTGGAGCTTGCCTCCTTTTCGCAACCTGTGCTTTTCCCTTTCCGTCCCTCCCATCCATCTTGTCCCTGCCCACGCTTCCAGGTTGTCCGTCATGACCACCACCATCTCGCCGCCCGTCATGTGTGGGGTACATTCATGTACACACTGGAGCAATCTCCAGCCAGAAGCAACCCCCCTGACTTGCCGTTCCAGATGCGTGCAACAGGTCAGCCTGCAGGGAGCTGCTTGCTAGCCTCCTTTTGCCTCGATGGCCCGGCCGGAACAGAGACTTCGTTCGGATTTTGTCATGTACCTTGCATTGTACCTAGAGTATAAAGACCAACTCCAATTTCCCCGGGAACCTGGAAACTGCCCCTCCTTCCCGAGCTGGGGGTCCCAACAGCCTGCCCGCCCAGCAGCGCTCCCTGATCTTGAAATTTCTAGGAACATACCATCCCGTCTGTCTCATCAGTTGTTGAGGCAAGTGCAAAAGACTGCCTTGCCTACCACCACATACCGAGGTGCCTCGCCCCGTCAGCTCCTTCTCGCCGCCTCAATCGGCCTTCCACTCTTATGGTCTACGACTGTAGCACTCTGCACGTCCGTCTCTTGAAAAGTCTGTCAAGGATTTCAGCGTGTGTTGCCTGCCCAGACGTGTTCCAACATTCGTGGGTTGCCGGTTGCCAAGCGCGTGCGCGTAGACCATCGAGAAAGTTTGTTTCAACGCCAACTCCGCAAAACCGCAAAACCACGACATCCTCGTCCAAATTTACGAACCCTGTCACTTGGCCGACCTCGCTGACCGATTCCAAAACACCTCGATCGAAATTGGGCTTCCGCTCGCTTTTGCGCTGTTCCCAGCCGACCACCAGCATCCTTCCTGCATCGGAACAGCCCGTTGCACGAGACCTTTGCGCCGCGACAAGCCATCGGCCTCGTTCACTCGTTCATACCCCACAGACAACCTCGCTCTTCATAAATCAGGGCTGCCGTCCGTGCGATACCTCCACGGAACCCGTGCAGCGACATTTTCACAATTTGGCACGGATCCTGAGTCACCAACCCATATATCCCCGCCTCAATCCCTCACCGGTGAATCAAGGCGACAGCAAACCCTTGTCTCCCGGAAACTCACCGCCTAACCCCAACCCGATATTTGAGCGATGACCATGCAGTCTTTGTTTTGTTAAGGACAGGTCGCATTCACGCCGCTCTACAACTGTCACCCGCGACCGCGGTGCTGTCTAAACCCTTCCGAATCCACATTCAACACCATCTCACCAACCCTCCTCGGAGTGTCTCTCTCGGATCCTTCAAAAAGCTCGGCAGCAGGTTGGTGGATATATTGGGGAACATGGCGGCAAACGGGAATAACCGCCCTATGGAGTCACGGACTGGGAGGAATAATCAGAGTGAGTTGCCCCTCAACACAGAGCAGACAACCAAACCCCAGTAAGACGATGAGCTGGGGGGTGGGGGTATTGGGATGCAGGCCAATCTTTGCGCCAGTGCTTTCCTCGGACCCCCTTTTTCCCTTTCTCTGCCTTTGCAACCCCGAACCTCGCAGGTCAAACACTGACTTGACCCGTCTTCTCCCTCCGCAACAGGATACAACACGGAAGGCGAGCGCTTGGTTGCCGGCATGGTGCCTCTGACGCAGGACAAGACGTACGTGATGTTGATCCAGTCGGGGCGGCGGAAGGGCTGGGTGCTGCCCAAGGGCGGCTGGAGACGGACGAGGAGTGCCACGAGGCCGCGTGCGCGCGAGGCCTGCGAGGAGCCCGGCATCTTCGTACAAATTGATTACGACTTGGGCGACATCCGCGAGACGGTCCCGCGCAAGAAGGCTTCGTTATTGTCCTCCTCTTCGTCCTCCAAAGGTTCCAGCAAGGATTCGTCCAAGGAGGGTAAGGACTCCAAGGAGAAGCCCCGCACGCTCTATCGATTTTACGAAGCCACCGTCACTAGCGAGGAAGCCGATTGGCCCGAGCGGGAGAAGCGCACACGCCAGTGGTTTACTTTCGCCGAGGCCAGCGAGCTGCTCAAGGACCGGCCGGAGCTGCATACCGCGCTGGAGCGCTCGACCATGAAGAGGTAGTCTCGGGGCGCGCCATGTCGAGAGACGGGCTAGTCCTCCCGGACTTGCTTTACCCCTCGGATTTCTGTTCCCGCTGTGAAGCGTACGAGGGCCCTCTACCTATGAAAAGTAGGTGGATCTTGGCAAGGGGAGAAATATTTGGTCGCTTTCTCTCCACCGCCGGAAAGATGCCGCTTGCTACACTGGGGCTCCGAAGCACGGAATCTGGCGGGTTCTTTGGGCATTTTTTATCGCTCAAGGATCATTCTCGACGTGGCACTGTTTCTTTCCCGACTCACGCGGAGTCGGCTTCTTCTTAGTCTCTTTTTAGCATTTTTTTTTAGTTTCGGCGGCTTTGTCTTTGTTTTATTCGCACTTGCACATCTTCGGGGAGAAGGAGTATATAGGGTTCTCCTTGGTCTCAGCGCGGGTGACAGCACCGAACTTTCCTTACTTCCTTGATGGACCTATCATGGCGGGCATGCTCCATTTGGTGAGCTCTGCTCCACAAGAACGAGGGATTTTGGTCATCCCTCCAGGGAATTGGCTGCGGCAAATATGCATCTGTCTCCCGGAGTTTGCGAGGGTGGGCCGTGATAGATTTGTTTTGCGTTTTTGTTTCCCCTCCCCTTCCTCCGTCTCCTTTGGACCTACGATACACATGGGTTAGGTATTCATGGGCGGGTCTTGTCTTCTTCTTTTTTTTCTTTTTTTTTTGGGATCCCGGTGCTTGACGAGAGACATCACCGCAATCGCGCGGGGGGTTGGGCGGCACTCTTGGTCTGGTCGATTTGCATTGTCTCGGGTGGGTTAGGTTTGCGCTGCTTTTAGAGTGGAAAGGTGGGGGCAAGAGCATATCAACGCCATCAAGCAAAGTAACAGTAATGCAGTTCTCCTCTTGTTCCGATGAAGGCCCCCCGAGAGCCTGGGCATAACCGGCATGGCTCAAACACGGGCCAGGATACTAACCTGGTGGTTTGTTACATATCGCCGGAGCTGGGAAATCCAAGTTCTGTCGGATCCCGGCGAAGCGTTCTTCCCCAGATAAGGTTTGGAGCTAATGGAGTTGTTGTAGAGACAGGCCCTCTGGCGAAGGCATTAAAGCTGGGCAGTTTGTTGTTGTGTGACAGAGCCAGAAAGTAAGCCGCATCGGAACTCAAGCACCGGTTTTTGAATAGATGGTACAAAAAGGGTGGTGTGAGGATCCAAGGTATATACATAGAACTACCCGTAGGAGGACACCGCAGCGAGGCAGACATTGCGTACAATTCATTTCACAGCTAATAAAATTGGGGCAAAAGACCTCTCACAGTTTGTTGGTCCATATCGAAGAAGCAACCTGGAGGCAGCCTCCGTTCAGTCAAAAACCACCATCTGGCACCATCACTGCAAAGATAAGCCACCGGAAACGGTACCCGGTCACGTCATTATGGCCTTATCACACTGCATCACCCTCCGGTCTCGTGATAGGCATGCGGTTGCCATAATTCTGTGGCGTAAAGAGTAGCTCCCTACACCAACTTCCTATGGTGGCCTTCGGAGGAAAGTCCGGCTGGGGTACTAGTCTCTCCTGGCTGTTGAATTATATATGCAGTGGTGAACTTTAGGCGAGAATGATCCCACAAGAGGTAGGGGATAGTAATTACCTATCATAAGGGTGGGGATGTTAGCTAGACACACTTGATATGAATGACAACCACAGGCACCTATCAGGCACTACTAGTAGTCACTGATATGCTCACTACGGGGACCTGGTAAACGATTTACTCTCAACAATACTCCCACGGCAACAACTGCGATTGTAGAGAAGTGGGCAATATGGCCATCAAGCGGCAGAGGGCCATCCAAAGCCCAATATAAACCCAGCAACACCAGGTCCACACACATCCCCCAAGCACCACCCACCCCTTTCAAAGCCCATTCCGCAGCTTCTGCAGCTGGCTGATCAGCCCATACGCGCCGTAGCCCTTAGCCTCGGCCGCTTGCCCAGCACCACTAACACCAGCCGCACCACCACCACTACCACCGCCCACCTCCACCTGCGGCTTCGCACCAGCCCTACTCCGCCCAGCCAGCTCCACCTCCCGCAGCAACTCCCTATGCCGATCCTCCACCATCTTCGCAAGCGACTCAATAAACCGCGCGCGGCCCTTCTCCTCGGCCGTCCCCTTCCACACAGCAGCCAGATCCTTAAGCTGCTCGATCCGCCGCGCAGCAGCCTCAATCCCCGCAATCAAGGAACCCCACCACCCTCACCCTCACCACCCTCACCCTCCTTGCCCCCCTTACCCTCCAACAACCCCGCAATCTCGTCCCTCAACCCGCGCAGCACCTGCTGCCCCTTTTCCTCGGTGGAGTGGTTGGCGCCGCCGGCGTCGGGCGCCGAGACGGAGAGGAAGGACGAGCTGACTGAAGACTTCGGAGGGCGGGAAGACGAATTCCATGGCCTCACCGAAGGTCTTGATTACGGCGTCGAGGCGAGACCGGACGAGGGTGAGGGTGCGGAGCTGTGTGATGTAGGCGGGTTCGTCGGGTGGTGGTGCTGGGGTGGTGGTGGTG